AAGTTTTAATGCAACATCCTAAAGGAAAAAAAAGTATTATATTCTTATTTTTAAGTCAACCAAATAGATAGATTTTAAGAACGTACTCGTCCAGTATATTTTTCTCGACCGCGATAAACTTTTGCAAAAGAACCTTCGCCAATTAGCGAAATTATCATATATTTATCCATATTGATCTTGACCTTGTTTTACTTTTTGAATGTTAATATAGATAGGTGAACTTATTCGCCATGATCATTATAGATTGAGGATGTTGCTTAGAATTACAAATTAACATTAAGAAAAAAATATTTATTTTATTTAGGAAGACAATAAAATTTCTAAAAACGATCTTTTGAAATTTCAAGATTTTCTCTTCATTTCAACAAATAAAAATGAAAGTGGTGCCACCTATATCTTTGTATTAGGTGTGGGTCGGCGTGGGTGGGTAGGTGTGGGTGTGGAATGAACAGAATTCCGTCACCCACACCCACACCCACACCCTAAAACTATCGTCTATCAAATTACCAACTACAACATTATTATCTATTGAGGAACCCGAAGAGATTAATTTTATAGTAGATAATAATGAAATTACAAAAGTTTATCTTGAAAAAATGAATAAATTTGATGATGTTCTTTTTCTTATTGATCTATTTCCTGAACTAAAATATCTTCAAATTGGCTGTACAAGTGATATTGATATTAACTTATTTTTACAAATTATTTTAATGAACATTCATAATAAAACAGATTCTAATCTTCATTTATTAGCCATTTCTATTCCGACAGCAGATGATTCTATGATGGAAAGAATACAAAATATAATCGATTCTAAAAGTCTTCTTTTTAATTATACAATTAAACGTACATATGATACTATTTTCTTACAAATGAAATAATATAACTCTTTTTTTTTCTTTTTATAAATAAAATTCAAATTTTGTCTTTAAAACTGTCTTTTTTTGTGCGATTATCTCTTTTTTAAATACGCACTCACATCCATCCGACAAATAAAGTTTCAACATTGTGATTTATAGTGATTATAAAAATAGCATATATTGTTTTGTTTCATTTCGAAATTTCTTCGCACGATGATTCATTACACTTTTTTCAGTCATTATATAAAAACGAATGTTTATTCAAAAAATACTTCCGCCTTGAACAAATATTGACATATGATGAGAAATACAGCGTTTGTGTACATATATATTACATCTATACTTTTTTCTATTCCAATTTTGAGAATGAAAATTACTCACAGTTGTCGTCATCGATATGTATGGAATAGATTCTCTTTCCAACGTTATTCTGCGTCTGCCCATATTTAATAGATGCCATCCTATGATATTAACTCCATTCATTATTTTGCTATTGGACTTCTTTTTTTATATATCAATATACACAGTCAATAGATAAAATGAGTTTTTTTCCATATTGGAACAAGCTAAAATTCATATTTCTATTAGCATAGGATATATATACTATGTGACAAATAGAGCCGGCGAATTCTCAAATCTTTTAGTTTTCTTCTCTATTTTTTTATCCTGATATTTGATAGCACATTAGTCTTTTTTACTTCCGTTCTTTAACATTATTCATCATTTTTTTTCTCGTTCTTTGAATCTATTGTATTTATACAAAAGGTAGATGATATTTTATATGTAAGAAGATATTTTCACTCAGATTTGCTTATAAAACAGATTTAGTTACCTTTCAGAACAAAATAAGTAACAACAAATGGGTAGTTCGCCATCTTCATTCTCAAATTTTGAAGCAACAATTCAAATAAAAGACGGAATAACATTTCGAATATCATATGCCGATTTGGTTGATCATGTTTTGTTACTTCGAAAAGTTATTTCACATCCAGAAATGACAGAACAAGGGGCTGAATTAGATTATTTTATTCAAGATTATTGTAAACGAATGGCACAACAGGAAATGATAAGTAAAAAACAACAATTAAAACTTCCATGGCAAACTGAATGGATTTGGCACGTGCATCGTCTACATCCAATAGCTTATTTCAATGATTGTACAAAACAACTACAAGGTGGAAATCTTGTTGATAAGTTGGTATACAATTTAATAAAAATCGTCACAAAAAACATGATTCAAAAACAGTTTTTACATCAATAAAAAATGACTCATCGTTTGTACCATCCATTGATTTAACACAAGCTGTTATTCGTCAACGGGATTTTCTACAAAACTTTCAAAAACATGATCTATATGAACGAAGTTTTAAACAACAAAATCTTTCATATTTCGAACAGTTAGTACAAAATTATGTTTTGTTTCTCAAATTAGCACGAGAAAATGAAATGATTGTACCAACATTTGACATTGATATAATTTGGCATTCACATATGAGACGTCCAGTACATTATCGTACAGTTTCAAAAGCTTTATGTGGATTTATTCTCGATCATGATGATGCAATCGAACAAAATATCCTATCAAATAGTTATCAGAAAACGGCTGAGCGATGGAAACAGACATACAATACAGATTATGGCCATAATATTGATCGAAAAAATATCGAAGCATCACTATATGTCAGTTCATGTGCAGCAGTTGGGAGTGGATGGGATTCTATTTGTGCTGGTGGAGGCGGCTGTGGTGGTGATGGAGAAGGAGGTGGATGTGGCGAAGATTGCGAGGACTAAGATAACTTAATAAATAAGACACATAATTATAAATATTGTTAAGTTGTGTATTATTTTATATATATTATCAGTCAATTTCTATTTACGAGACATTAAAATAAATAAAGCATCTTGAGGGTGTGGGTGTGGATAACTATCTATCTTCCACCCACACCCACCCCTATACATAAAAAAACGCACATTTTAACATGTGAAACTTTTCTTATGAAACAACAGAATGGGTTAAAATATACACTTCAATGCGTAAAAGCATTCATTTTTTTATGAATGATCACTACAAAAAACAAAAGAAAAAAGCAAATGCTGTGCACATTTTCACTTATTTCTTATTGTATTTATTCATTTTTCTTCTATTCGAACATTTTTTCACATTATAGTATAGTTAGTATTACTGCACTATTATTATTAAAGATTGTTTGATTGATCTTTAACAGTGACCATGTTTTCTCTTTCACATATCTATGATCAAAATGACGAGAAATTCGTTCCAAATGTTCCAATTGATATCATATCAATAGTTGCCGAACAACGCAGTATTATTTCTATCGACTTTGATGATCTTTATCAGTGAGTTTTTGCATATTGGCAAATGAGATAATCTGTTCTCTTTCATACAGATATCGAATTATCATTCAACATGGTCCTTTCCAATGGAAAATCTGTAAACTCTATCAACATTTTATTATTTTAAACAATACACTTACAAAACTTGCTAAAGACAAGAGAAGCACTAGAGAGGCAGATGAAAGCAGTGCATGGCCAAGTCTACCCATATCTAAAGATAAATTAATAGATGACGAAGGCAACAATGATCCTCAATTTTGTGTAAATATATTGAAGAGAAGTTTTAGATCTGTTTGAAAGAATCTTATCTTTGGTATTTAGCAATTATTTGGTGATTATCTGAATAATGTTGTTAGAAATTCGAAATGTCGTACTCATCCAGCAACGGCACGTGTTTTTTGATTGCTATGCTGAAAAACGCTTATCATATTCTATATTTTAATTTCAGTATGAATTTTTCAACGTCAGTCGTCTTTCATTTGTCCGAGGAATGTCCAGCAGCTTAAAGGAAGGTTATTTCTCTAAAAGATTCAGGAATAACAATTTTCTTTCTCGACTACCATTCACCTATAACTCGAATTTATTTCACAATGAACAAAAGTATGTATTAATGTGTTATGTACTACAAAAGATTGATATTTTTATCGATACAGATGGTTTGTTGTCAAAGATAGTTTTATTACTTACATGCATCGAGATACTGATCAACTAGCTTTTCCAATGCTGGTTGATCATGGTTTCACGGTGTTGAGTAATCATCATAATACTGCCATGACGAATTCGGAGATTCAGATCAGAAATCTACAAGAGACATTAACAATAAAATGTGAAAATCGTCATGATTATGAACAATGGATGGAATCTTTGAATCTTTTGCAAGAAAAGGCCTTTTGCTTTGAAAATAAAAATGACACTCGTTTCCATTCATTCGCACAAATTCGTTACAATCAATTAGGTTATTGGTAATCCAGTTAAACATATTAATTTGAGAGATTTGATCTTGTATTAAATTAGGTTTATCAATGGAAAAAGCTATTCAATTAGCGAAAGAAGAAATCTTTATTACTGACTGGTGGCTATCACCAGAAATTATGCTCATACGACCAAACGATGATGAGGCAATGCGTTTAGATAATCTGTTGGGAAAGAAAGCAGTATGTATAGTTCTTTATTTGTTCTCTTCATTGATCGAAATGATTTATTATGCAAAAAAAGGACGATGGTGTTCGCATTTATGTGATGATATCCAAAGAATTCTCTTTTATTAGTTCTGGAAATAGTTCTCATACTAAGCAAGCCTTGATCAATAAGAGTAAAACTGGAAATATTAAAGTAAATCAATATTTACTTAACTTCTTGTTTGATTCGAATAATTAAAGGTAATCCGACATCCCAATCATAATCGAATTAATAATACATTATTATGGTCGCATAATGAGAAATCATTGATTATTGATCGGAAAATAGCATTTATCGGTGGGATCGATTTATGTTTCGGTCGATGGGATAATGAATTTCATCGGTAAACATTTTTCAATAATAAAAAGTTGTTAAAATCGATCACTTTAGTCTCGTTGACTTGGGTGAAACAACGAAACAAGTTGGAGAAGAGTCTATGGATACGAACAATAGATATTTCATTGGGAAAGATTATGTAAATATTTACGAAGGACAAATTGACAATGTTGAAAGATTTGGTGAAGGTATTTTAGTCTTTTTTCCTTCTGATTTAATAATTTCTGATAGATTTCATCGATCGAAAACTGGTACCACGTACTCCCTGGCATGATGAAGCTCTTGTAGTATTCGGTGAGGTAGCACGCGATGCTGCAAGGCATTTTATACAACGATGGAATATTCACAAGGTGTTTTCTTTTTCAAAACGATTATTCATTTTCTTTTGTTTTTATCTAGATCGAAAAATTTGTCAATGATTCATCATATTTATTCATTCTACCGAAAACATATGATGATAAAGAAGAATTAACCGTAAATAATTGGGAAGAGTTTCTTGAGGGTCATCCATGCCAGATCAACGCTCAAGTAAGAAAATATCATTGAATATATTCATTTTTAGGTTAATTAAACAGTGTGTTCGTTCAATTGGTCCATGGTCTGCAAGTACGAGAACAACCGAAACGTCGATTCTTAATGCTTACATACAAATGATCGATGGTGCCGAACATTTTATATTTATTGAGGTATGTCTGCTAGTGATGAGAAAAAAAAGGCATAGAATAATATTTCTTTTGATATGAAGAATGAATTTTTCGTGACAGTGGCAAATGATTCATTCATTCAGAATCCAGCGTCAGAGACTCTCTATCAACGGATTGTACGTGCTCACAGGTAAATATATTTTTTCTTTCTCCATATATCGATCATTTAATTTCAATTAGATTGAGAGAAAAATTTCGTATCTATTTTGTCCTTCCCCTTTTGCCTGGCTCCGATAATGTCAATATCGTTCAAGCTTCTCTCTATTTTATTATGCGATCGATTGCCAAAGGAGATAATTCACTATTCAAACGGCTTGAAACAGCAGGTTAGTGATAAATATCATCAATTTATTGTACCAATCTTTTTCGGATATTCAACCCAATGATTATATCAGTTTTTTTGGTCTAAGACAATATGATATACTAATGGACGTTTTGGTATGTAGTAAAACGATTTTTTTCGGTGCTGATAATATATCGCTCGATATATAAAACTATTATCATAGGTAACAGAGATCATCTTTGTTCATTCTAAATTAATGATTGTGGATGATCGAATGGCAATTTGTGGAAGTGCAAATATCAATGATCGTTCTCTATTGGGTGAACGTGATAGTGAACTTTGTGTAGTGATCAATGATATCGAAGAGGAACAATGTCTGTTTAATGGTCGATCGGTTCGCGTTGGAAAGTTTTGTTCTAGTTGGCGTCGAAGACTCTTTTCGTATGCTTTTTTCTTTTGAAAAACTTATTATTTCAATGATTTCTGTTTAAACGAATAGAATGATGCTTGAAACTATGGGACATAACGAAAATAATATCGATATAACCGATCCCGTTTCTGATCAATTTTATAATTATTTTCGAGAGGTGGCGCATAAAAATATCTTGATCTACGAAGAAACTTTTAGGGTACTACCTACTAATTGTGTTCGACGTTTTGATCAGATAACCAATTATACTGACAAGCCCAAACTCAAAGATACTGATCCAAATCAAGTAAGTTTTCATATCCATCTGATTCGACTGTTAAAATATTTGTTCACGATTAGGCTCACGAGAAATTGAAAAATATTCAAGGTCTAGTTGTTGATTATCCAATTTATTTTCTCGATGAAGAAAATTATCTACCCAGTCTTCGAACTCGTGAAGGTATCTCATATTGATCTTTTCAAAATTATAAGTAACTTTCACTCCATAGGTCTTCTTCCCACCGTCGTTTGGACTTGAACTTGATCAATCTTATTCTATTCATTATCTTCATTAACATGATTGAAATCATCTTACTACACTTACTAATAATCATACAAATAAATAAATAAAACTAACAGCTACATCATATTCGTTCTGCCCTGATTTATATTATTGAATATATGATTTTAAGGGTGTGGGTTTGGGTTGTGTGATGATAGGCACGAACACTTAATCATTCTTCTGGTACCTCTATTAGGATATCAGTGATTTTTTGAAAATTCAATGTCTCGAGAAAAAGATTGCTTTTGAGCTGAAAGTTTCAGGACTTTCTACGAGCATGTAGGGTTACCACGGGATAAAATTGGAGATCCAAATATCGATGTTCTATTTACAGGTATATATCATGATATAGGCTGAAATTTCAGTGAAATGACTATAACTCCGGAAGGAAGGCCTATGTGCACGTACCTTTTTGGGGTTTTTCATACCTTATTGAGGTTTATCTTTTGCACTAAGTTCGAAGTCAAAAGCGATTTTTAACTTGAATTGGTTCCCTGGTTAGAAAATTTTCATTACATATTTTTTCTCTATACTTTGGTTTAAACCATGAGCTACGAAAGAGTTCAAGACCAATGCGTTACTTGTTATTTTTAGTGTTCTTTCAAATGGAATGTAACAGAAAAAGTGTACACTTCGTTAATTATAAAATGCGCAAAAAGAGAACAGCACTTGAATTTTTCTTTCTGTTTATATTTGCAATCGAGCGATTGTCAGTGAGAAAACGTTATTGCCCTTGATGAATTGCAGAATTGCGCACGCACAATGAAGCCTTCAACAAGGTGACTTTCGCTGTATATTTTTGTTGTTCGATCGGGAGCAATGTTTGATTCTCTCTTACTTGAAAAAAATCATCTCTATCAAAAATTCAATTTATTTTATTGTTATAAATATTCATACATAAAAACATTTTTGCTTGCAAAATTCAACACAATTTTCATCAACATCAGAACACAGCTAATCAATTATAGTATAATCAAGTGAGTCTCAATAAAGTGAAACTGGAGGCGAAGTTTCTTACCGTTTAAATCGATGCAAAATTAAAATAAAAGTTTTGTTAACAATTACTAACTGCATTGTGTCCATTGCTAATCTTGGGAATTTGAAGCAAACCACTGAACCTCACTATAATATTATTTAAATGTCACCATTCACCATAAATTTATTATGGTGAGTGTCTTTTCTGAGAAGAGCAGTAGTGGAGCTTGGTAAATGATATACAGGGTGTGGGTGGATCTGGATATAGATGAAGAACACAGATCCGCAACCACATCCACCCTCAAATTCTCAAGTAGTACTGGGTCCCTTAAAAATTTAAGCTGTGGTTTTTGAACCACCGTGTTGAAGATAAATTACTCCTGTAATTCGACGGTTTTAAGCAGATATTTTAGGTTATGGATAGAAAAGGGTAAGGGTTAGTGGATGGGACTGCAGACAAGCTGTAAGGTACAGTTAGCGATAGAAACACATTGTTTCTTTTAATTTTAGCTCGCTTCTATATCTTGTCTGGTGCCATACGTATAAACCTAACTTACACAAGGATTCGCAGACGTTACCACGATAAATAAACGTATTAGTTCGGTTTTATTATTCGATTTTCAACCTGTCCGATGGATGACGTAATCAGACCACTACCCGCCGTCAGTTTATTTAATCTCTTACCCGAAGATCAAGACAACAATGAGTTGAACTCAAATGAAAATCATACAGAATTTAGCATTGTATGGTTAGATGCAAGAATCGATACGTCTGCGGATTGTCTTGATACTCAAAATCAACTTCGATCGATTTTTAAACGCCTGGAAGTGTTTTCAAATGAAGATGCGTGCTTAAACTACATGAAAAGTGAACATGCTGAAGACCAAAATATCTTTTTTATTGTGTCTGGTTCACTTGCCTCTATCATGATTGACAGCATCTGCGACCTTTCACATATTGTTTTCATATATATCTTTTGCAAGTCGTCTTCTAATTTGGGGATAACTCGAAAGAAAATTCGCGGAACATTTGATAACAAGCATAAGCTGTACGCTACTATCACAGAAGATGTTCGTTTATTCGCAAAAATACCCGATCCTATCAGTATGTTCTGTTCAGCTTCAATACAAGAAAAATCAATACAGAGCGCAGAGAATCTTGAGTTTATAGCTCAGCAAGACATTTTCGCAGCTACTGTCAATATCAGCCATACTGATCCATTATCTAAAGAAGCCATGATTATGCAATGTCGTTATTACTACCAAAATGATAAAATGGAGCAGTACAAAATTGATGAATTTGAGAAAACTTACACTTCACAAGATGCACTGCATTGGTATACTAAAGACTCATTCGCGTATCGCCTTTTGAACAAGGCGCTGAGAACACGAAATACTGAAGTCATTCATGCCTTTCGTTTTTTCATGGTTGATCTTCATCAACAAATTCGTGAATTGCATTGGAAACAGATGCAAGGAAAAGATGCAAGAGTAACAACGCTTTATCGAGGGCAGTTGTTACCAAAAGACGAGTTAGAAGAGCTCAAGAATCAAATTGGTAAAAGAATTACCATGAATGGCTTTTTATCAGCATCTTCATCATCCTCGATAGCTTTGCTCTACTGTGGCGAAGGTAAACAACGTCCATTTTATGAATCAGTCTTCTTACAAATTGATCTTCCCTCTTATGGATTGGATCCGGCGATGCCATATTGCAGTATAGCACACCTCAGTGATTTTGAAGTGGAGCATGAATATTTATTCAAATTCGGAACTATCTTTGAAGTTATATCGATAAATGAGCTCACTGAAGAGATCTGGTATGTTCAATTGCGGCTAGAATGTATAACAGATCATTCTATAAATAGCAAGAATAGCACATCCAGAGAAGTCTTGATCGATTTTTTTAGCGAATCGGTGTCAAATGATGAAGCATTACGGAATATTAACAAGATGGTCGACGACATTTCTTTAGAACAGCGCAACCGCATGGCTGGGTACATTAAATTGGGTGATGCATACGAAGACAGATTTGATTATACCCAGCAATTGCGTTATTATAGAGCGAATTTAGAAGTTCTGGAAAAAGTGTCAAATGATAAACATCCACTCTTAAACTTGGGCTATGATACAATCACTCGCAAACTTGCAGGAGTCGTGCATGATTGTACTAAAGAGGATATCAGTGTGCTCAATAAGGTTCTTTCTGAGTACCATATGCCGCCTGAGGACATATGCTTGACTTGTTTTCAAAAACATGTTTCTCACAACAATACGAATGGATTTGATTCTGTAGAATATAATCGAATCGAACTATTATTACAAAATCTTTCACTATCTGTATATGATTATTCCACAACTTTTTATTATAGTAACTTGATCATTTTACCGGTATCGAGTTCTGGGCTGGGTCAATTATATGAGGCTCATCAAAACAATAGAAAAGCACTTTATCATTATATTCGAGAATTAGAAAGATTTTTAAACATGTTCGAAAAAATAATAAAAATGCAACAAGACGCCATGTCGGTCGATTCAAGTGAACCAACATCCTTGATTATTGGAACTATTAAATGTATTGACTTACGAAATAACAAATCTGAAGAAGTAGCTTATAAAACGAACAGGAACATTACAGTTAAAACTTTTATGAAAAACGTTTACACGTCGATTGGATGGAATTGTTATTTAAAAAGAGCTGAACTCATTTACAAAGGGATTACTTTAGAAAAAGATGCGACATTGACGGCGTACAACATTCCAAATGAATTCTTTATGATGATCATTCTGAGAAACATGGATATACCAAATGTAGTACCTTCTCTACCTGAAAATACTCATGATTCTGAACACAGTTATATAAAATTGAAAATTGTTTCATTAGATGGTGAGATAATGACTCCTTCTGTTTCATGTAATTCCGTTATAATGCACTTAAAAACCATCATTTTCGATACTTGGGGTATCAGAGAACATCAACAGCGGCTGTTATGCAATGGAAAACAATTGGAAGACGATCGTACGTTAAGCTATTATGATATTAAAGACAGATCTACAATCCGCATTGTAGAGCGAAGGCAAAGATGTGTCTGTATTGGTGATTTTCGCCACTTATCTCGAATAATAGATGTGAACGACAACAGCTTCGAGGACGTCAAGAAACTTCGTCAAGCAGCTCAGGATATGCTCAAGACTGACTACAATACATTGTTCAAAACAAAAGAAAATGCACTTGGTTTAAAGGATGCCCTTAAAATGTTTATACAGAACCACGGATTATCTTTAAGGAGAACATACTTTTTCAGTCCAATTGGTCAACAAAATGCTATAATTCATGTCCTAAATAGCAAGGCTCTGTTGAAATCATTAGACATATTTATTCACGACTGTAGTGAGTCATTGTTGATGCACGCGGAGATGTACTATTAGAGTCAATAAATATCTTCTGAACAACTTATGTTATTGTCTCTAGAATTCTTTCGAAAGCATGTGAGCCAGTCGCAGGTCATGATAAATTTCCACAAGGAGAATTATTAAAAAGCAGGTTTTGAGGATGGATGTGCTGTATCATCCCACACTCTCAAGATGATCGTGAAAAAAATGTAGTTTAGTAATAAAATGGAGAAGATTTTATATTTATTAGTAATAATAAATAGTTAAAACGAATTTCATTTATTTTTATCTAAAATTCAGTAAAACTAGTATGGGTGAGGATTGTGAGAATATACACTAAAATCCCTATCGACTCTCTATTAAATCGAACCTAAAGTCAATGGCTTCTGTATACCAAGTATCAAAACTGGTCAACTACTTCAATAGTATTGAATTGCTGTATTCTTTGCTTACAAGAGAAAAAAAAGAATAGCTTGTTTACCATGATGTCCAATTTATCTACAACTATATGAAAGTTTTATGATGATTCATTGAAAAGCATTTCCAGATGCATGAATATAATACAAAAAATTAATTAGATTAAAAGAATTTACTTGTGAAATCAATATCCGCTTTTAATAATTCAATGTTAATCGCATTTATATATTATTAATACTTTACTTATACTAACACCGTTATCAAAAAAAAAAGATCTGAATTCTATCCTTCGGAGATTCTTGTACCGTTCACTATCTTTTCATAAATAAGACGACGATCAATACAATTAAATTAACATGACATCCGTTTTATTAGCCAAGTTATGAAATAGCATTAAAGGACGAAATTAATAATTCATGTAACAATACGTGCACAGTTTTCACTTAAATATTTAAACAATAATTGAATTTAGTTAATCAAATAGAAATAGTATTTTGTATTAAACACGTAGCTCTTTATTAATAGATATTTTATACAAAAATGAAACAAGATTGTATGTTATCGGAATAAAATATACATATATATATATGACATCAATCTGTTAAAATGACATCATGTTTATTACTATTGTTCTAAGTCAAGAATATTCTTTTTCCTATTCATTAATAACGTTTCATCATGCTTTCAAGCGATCGATCAATCGATTAGAACACTGGCATCTTCGTCGTTCACTGTCGTACGTACTAATTCTTTTTCCGGTCCATCTCATCTTATCTTCTTTCTTCCTATTGTCATTATTAAATCTCTTGATAATAAAATCATTTAATCATGGAATATATATATATTCTCATACATATAGACATAACAACAACATGAAAGATATCTACTCTCATCATTTTCTTTTTCTTTTCCTTTCCGGTTGAACATAAGATTTAACAATATGATTAAAACTACGATTTATTTTTTCCTAATTTTTTCTGTTCAAAGTCAAAGTAGTATTCCAATTGGTATGTATTGATAATTTCAATTGATAATAATAATAAAGATATATATATATTCATAGGATGGTTTGTAGATAAAAAATCAATGAATAATGTAGAGATAAATACATTTTCTGATGCTTTAACAGCAGCGATGAATTTAACTGATTCATTTTCATGGCCAATAGATCAATATACTTTTCAATCATTTCATAAAAATGTTAATGTATTAATAAATTTAATTTTCTAATATTTAAAATAAATATATCTTTTTTGCAGGATGTTAATATTTATTCACGTGCTCATCGAAGTAAAGAACAAAAATTTGAATTAAAATAAATCGTTTCTTTTTTAAATTTTAGTTTATAATCGATTAGAATCCGGTGCAATTGGTACAGTATCAAATATCGATAATTCTAAAACTCGTTTACTTGAATTATTTATGAAACGTTTACATATATCAATGATATCATTAAATTATTTTATATTATCGAAGGTGATGAAGCATTTGAACGTTATCAAGCAATGATGGTTGCACAAGCATGAGAAAAAAGTTATGATATTTTAGATATTCAAGGTCGTCAATTAATTGATAATACAAATTCAAATCATACAAAAAATTTATTACAAAGTGTAGAAATTAAGGGTGTGGGTGTGGATGTGGATCACACTAAGGAATGAATACCAGTCACACCTACATTCAACCCACACCCACCCACACCTACGCTCATTCCACACCCACACCCACCCTCAAGTTTACAATATGGATTATAGTTTCAATTTTAAACGAAAAGTTATATTTTTTCATATAATGGTGCATCATCAGGAAACATCCAAAAATTTTGTTCGCCTTTGGATAAATACGAAGTGAGTCCATTCTTCGACACAGTCCAATTGTCATCCAGCAATTCCAAATGGGTTAAGCTGCAGACTCCTGCTCGAATCGGAGACATATCCCATGCAGAAAGATTATTTTTCTCTTGGTTCGTTGTGATTGTGATTTCTTCTTTCGTTACCACCTCCTGACTTCGTTCTTTACTGACTGTCAATAGTGCTCTGACACCTTCGATCAGTGTTGCTGCATGAGTAACAATTAAAATATTACAGTCAGCTGTGTGAGCATCTAGCGTACATCGTAGGACTTGTGTCAAACGATCACGCAGTTGCTGACGAGTCTCTTGTCTCGCTTGTGAATAATAATTAGATTTGTAGACGCTATCGTAATTATGATCAAAATAATCAGCGTTTTGAGAGGTTTCAGATAGTTGATCAAAGGGTTGATATATGTAATTTTCATCCGATATATCGTCGTAAAGGAAATATTCACCGTACCCTAGTTCCACTCGAATTTTTGTAAGTTCATGAGGTGATGAAACATTCTTATTCAGCTCTTTGGCTATTTGCAGTGCAGTTTGAATTGTACGTAAAAAGGGTGATGCATATATATGAGTTATTCGTGGCTGAATTTTGGCAACGTATACACCGAGTTCATGTGCTTGTTGGAGACCGTATGATGATAACGGAGGATTCAAATGCCATTTTGTCGTTTCTTTCCACTTTTTATCAATAAAATCGATTCGTTCGCCGTGTCTAGCGAAATAAATATTCTTCGTCTGTAACTTTGTCATTGTGCACGCGCATGTGAATGTTTTGCGTGCAATTTCAGTTCTTCTATGGATCTTTCTTTCTGTTTATTGACTCATCGAGTGATATTGTTGTTGATAATGAAGGAATTAGTCTTGCTATCGGTATCATAGAGACAGAAAATAAGAAGCTTGGTATTTATTGGTTGCGATAAAACTCAATTTCTGGGTTCATTCTGACATACTCATCGTCGCGTTTACTAAATTATCACTATGGAAAAAATTGAAATTAAATATGAGAGCGCGTTTATCACGAATGTCGTAAAAACACGAAATAGGTGTCGCATTGTGGTGGTTGATTATTTTAGACATTACACTATAATCGTTCTCGATATCCTCATTGCATGTGTTGCCTAAAACAAGTTGATTTTTCTGCAAATTTGTATGGAAACAGATTAATGAAAAAATTATTCAAATCAATTTGTAATAAGATTTTTCTTCGAAAGCGTCATATATTTGAACATATTGACAGAGAATTCATTCCATTTTCAAGAACTTTAATGAAGAATCAAAGAAAAGAAGAAAACGACATTCTTGAACTCCTCAGACTCTATGTAACTACGTCGACAATATTTTTATTATTAAAAATGATCTGTGACATCAATTTGATTTGATTTGAACGAGTATACATGAAACGACTCTAACACAAAGATATTATAATCCTTGTTTCAAACGATTTTTCGATAAGAAGAAGGTATTGTAATTCGTATATTGTTGTTCATTTGCGCAATTAGATTAATCTTATTCAGATGCAAGATCTTGACGGGTGTGGATGTGACATCCTGCCAGGACCGGGTTCGTCCTTTCTCAAGCGACTCATCAGATGGCTTCCTAATTTGATTATGATTCACTTTAATAAAATTTAAGTCTAATAAAACACTGAACAAAATTACTATCTACGGCAAAATATAATGAACACGAACGTTTTTTGAATATCTCGAACATGGAAGCAGCTATCGATCTGCAGCTTTCACCATTGAATACGCAAAGTGGGGGAAAATACAATGATATCAAATTCATTAGTGTTGAAAAAAATATTGTGGTCTTTGGAAACTTGAACTAGAATCGGACTTCCGCAATCCAGGATCTTTCGTTAGATTCTGAGTTTGAAAAATGGATTAGATCTATGGTATGCTGCTTTGTATTTTTTGTAAGTTTAAGAATTTTGCCCTTTCACATTCATCTATTCGATAGCACCTAATAATCACATGTTCAATCACTCAAAAATCGCCGTTCTTTTTTGGAAAAATAAACAAAAACACATTTTTAAAGAATCAAATGATTCTATTTTTTATTGAAATTTACTAATATGCTGTATATATGATCGGACCAAGTAACAACATCATACTCACGTGTGTATGCAAAAGAATAAATCAGAAAGGCGCAGCATAATAGTTTAGTGCAGAGAACAAAAGGAGGAAAATAGGCCTTAATTATGCAAGTCATATCAGATATATATCACTACTATAAGCGTTTTGTAACATATACACAACTACTTCCCATCGTCAATACATAACATGTTTCTGTTAAAAAATAGACTGTGATATATACAGTGAACCATCCGTCCCGAAAAGGTTAATCTTTAGAAGTCGACTAGTATTATTAGCGGTCAGAAAAAATAATCTTATTGTTTAATTTTCCTTATAAAGTCAAACTTAACATTCTTTTCACATTTAAAATCATCAATGTTGAATTTTTTTAATGAGGAAGATGAAGCTTATGCAAACTACAAGTCTAGATAAGACAAACTTTTATCCACATCATCGTCACCATCGTCATCAACAAGTAACGTTCGTCACTTCGACTCACTTGACCCTCGACTGAATAGAATAAAACTATTTTCTGTTATTACTAAATTGAGAGCATCGATCTACCAACTTATGTTTGAATTACGACGCAAATTTCTTCTCTTGAATTTTAAAAGTGCAAAAAATCACTTTGTACTTCTATATGAGTATTATATTGCTTCTGCACCCACACCCTCAAGATAAACAAGATATATCTACACACTTACGCCCTATTCCTCCGACTCTCACCCATTCCCATCCACTTCCACTCGCTCTTACCGTATTCCACTCATTTCCACCCACTTCTATGCTGTTTCACCCACTTTCATCGAGTCCTATCCTATTTCACCCATACCTTCAAGATGGTATATGATCATTTCTTGATAAAAAAGGGTGTAATACTGATCGAATGACACTTTATTCTGTTGCTTCTTCCAAGAATCACATCATTTTCATACTAAGCATACGCTTATATACTCATCCATCAGAGTAGAGGAAAGAATATAAAAGAAAAGAAGCGAGTGATAAACTAATCAATGACATTTAATCATTAACAAAGGAGGAGGTGAGGATGAGGATGTGGATGAGAGAAAGTGTAACGTCGGCTGAGTATCGCTGTCAGTAGGTGTGAGATTATTCTATTTATTTTACACCCACACCCTTTGTAGTAATAACCTATATTACACTCGTCATTAGGTGAAAGTCTCTCTATTCAGAACATTTAATAAAACAAAAAAGCATAAAACTTAACTGTATTATCTGTTCTTCATCTAATGTCAATCTGTTATTAATCAAGAAATTATTATGTGTACGTCAGATTAAGATCAATGAACTTATAGTGAGTTGACTGTGACGAGACGAAAATACATTGTTTGTATTACATAATTTTAATCATTCAATGACTAGATTTTCTTCGAGAGAGCTATCATCTGATCATATGTTCTTGATAATATGTAATTACTTAATAAGTACAACTATCGTTTGTACATAGAATTCATGTAGTCTGTCAACGATAACAACTCACAATAGAAAAAAAAAGCTCGAAGATTAACTCCAGAAGGTCAATGTACATTAATGTCAATATTTCTTAATATATAAAAAAGTTCCATATACTGAAGAGAGCTATAAAAACGTAGGTGTAGGTGATTTTAAGTGTATTTATTCTTGTTTAAAATAAAATACAAAAAAATGATATTAACGGTAGTTAATTATTCAATTTCTTCGTATTTATTGCAATTATGCGTTGCAATCGCAAAAACCTGGAGGATGAATACCAGTAAGAGCATCGTCAATACCACTAATACGATGAAAAACTTCACGAAAAGCACCAATACCAACACCCTCAGGACCAGTGGGAACAAGAGCATCTTGAACAAAGTTACGCCAAGGAGCAAAAGGACCACGAAGAGTAGCATATTTACTCTGAGCAGCAAAATAAGTAAGAATACTACGAACGTTAAGACGAGGAATAGTCGTACGAATAATATTCATATGATCACTAAAATGCTCATAACTACGACATTTGCGACACTTAGGACAAGGAGGTTCTTCACAACGAGGTTGACTGGTCGCCATATTTTGTGATGCCATCGATTACCGGTGTCCTAGAATAATTTTTAAATATTAATCAAAACGAAGATCTAATTTATCACGTTCTGCATATCAAACTCTCCAGGTAGGAGTTCTCTATCACGAAAGGGAGAGTAGATGATGATAATCAGTTACTAGCGCTTTTCAAAGACATATGTAAGTGAATATAAAATAAAAATAAATTATGCTATATATCAAGGGAGTTGGTGATGCAGAAGATATCACGAGAGATGCAACATCTCCCACATCCCCATCTTCAAACAAAGGGATGCACTGAGCTCAAACATTCAACTTCGATGAAATTGGCCTCGAAAGCGATTTGAAACGCTGTTTTTGTTTGTTTATAATAATAACATTTATAGATTTTCTTACTGTATGTGAATTGTACAGGTGTGAATAACTGTAGAGTGCTTTTTGGTTCAAACGAAATCAAGAATTAACAATGTGGTGACGACACATTGTATAGAAAATAAAAGAGGATTGACATGGACAAGCAAAACCACTGATGACCAACAAAGAGTTTACTGTCACGACTTTTTGAAAGAAATCCAGATTGAATACTACTAAGATCAGGTAAATCTAATTTTCTGTTTGCGCACGTCGTTGATACATCGTACAGAGGTCTGATTTCGTTTAATCAACTACGCTGAAAAAAGCGCTAGTCCTAACAGGCTTAGGAGGAGTGATTAGATAAAATGATAACGATTTATCACGTTCAAAAACACACATTTTTATCAACGTGTGACACAGTTATTAGTATAGTATGCAATTTTCCAGCGAAACTATTTTGAGAAGTAGAAAACAATTGGTAACTGGAAAATCTAATGAGTAATAATTCTCGAAAATTAATTGTCATTATAATAGTCGATGTTACTGAAGAGAAATTCGGCAATCGCAACTAACAGGCGAGCTTGCTTACTTTCTTTTTGCTGTTTGACAAATGTTCTTTTCTACTTTGCAATACTTGATTATTTTATGTCAAAAAAAGCAGGAATACTCATAAATAGAACAATAAACAGCACAAATACGTTCCCTCATCCGGTCACAGTTGATAATTACTTTCGTTTATATGACGATCATAATGATTATTTAAGTACTTCTCCATATTCTAAAACTAGTTTATACCTCGATCATCCAATCTTGCTGAATTTTCATAGAAAGTGTGTCCTAGAGTGCCCATCTCACAGTAAAGATTTCAGCTCTAAATATTGAGCTGAACAAGTTTTATATCGAAATTAAAAGTCAAACACAGCGTTGCCGAGCGTCTCAAATTGCTCTGCTATTTCGCACGCTAAAAGGCTTCGGTTGATTATAACATGTCATTGGGAAAGGGTGTGGGTGTATGAGATCGCCATCGAGCGTTTCGACCTTCCTCAGGAATACTATCATATGTCACTTTATGAACAGAATTTTAACTTAAGTCGACTAACGTTAGATAAGTCAAGACTCAAATTATTGTAGGGTATTGTGTGTTGTATGAGTCGATTGAAAATATAAATGAATAATCTAGGAACAGGAAGATATATTAGAGTAGTGACTCACTTGTACTGTTGTTTTTGATTGAATTGAATGTGAGAGTGAACATCGCTTAGAAGAAACGGTCTTTATATACAGTCTGGGACTAGGAAGAAATTGGAATAATCCTCTTCTAAAATGTTCTTGGAAATATCATAATTTTGAGTCTAGACATAGGATTCTTCCATATACTATTCATCGATGAATTAATTATAGGGTATTATTCAATATTTATTTTATTTATTTATTTCTATACCCGTATCGTTGTCGGTTGGGTTGACAAACATAATACAAAAAAATGAAAAGAACGAAGAACTAGAAACGAAAAATACCAACCAAAAAATAATGAAAAAGAAAAAGAGTCTATTTTCGGAGAACTGTCCAACTTTTGTGAACTCTAATGTCTTGATGAATCCACGGAAGGGTGTGGATGTATGATAATAAAATATCCACGCCTATACTCACACCCACATCCTAGATTTTTTTTCTTTTTCATGTTTTTTTTGTTTTTGTTCTGTTCTTTTCATTTTCTTGTATTATGTTTGTCAACCCAACCGGTAACGATACGGGTATAGAAATAAATAAATAAATAAAATAAATATTGAATAATACTCTATAACTAATTCATCGATGAATAGTATATGGAAGAATCCTATGCCTTGACTCAAAAAGTATGCAATTTTCAAGAACATTTTAGAAGAGGATTATTCAGATTTCTTCCTAATCCTAAACTGTATATGAAGACTGCTTCTTCTAAACGATATTCACTCTCACACTCAATTCAACCAACAACAATAATACAAGTGAGTCAATAGTCTAATACATTTTTCTGTTTCTAGATTATTCATTTATATTTTCAATTAACTCATAGCACTGTAATTGTTATACTTGTGAATAATTTTAATTGAATTTGAGTTACTAAGTCGACTTAAGTTAAAATTCTAGTCATAAAGTGATATATGATGTTATATAATGGGACCCCTAAGAAAAGTCGAAAAGGATCATGACAGTCTCATACACCCACACCCTCTCAATGAATAATCTATAAAACCAAAGGGAAGAACTGCTCCAAGTACATCATGTAGTAGGCCTCTCATATTACCTAGATCACCCTTTGAATCAAAGGGATACTCGTTAATATCAGGAAAAAATCAAATTTGCTTAAATTTTTGTTGTTGACTGTAAATGACATTATTATCGGGTTTATTCTTGGTAGAATCTTTCAGATATTGAAAAAAATTAATTATTATGATCATGAATTATCAATTCGTAGTGCAATATGCGCTCGATTAGATTCTCCATATCTTTATTTAAGAAAATTTGCTATTCTTTTGGAATTTTCGGGTTCAATTTATATTTAGATTCCTTATTCAATAATTATGATTGCACTTCATTATACAACCATACATGAAGCAATGCAATATATTTTACTTTTTACAGGTCTTATGTTTGATATAGCTATTATTGGTACAACTAACCCTCTTATACGCCGTCCAAGACCAATAGTTAATCATAATGATGTTCTAGCAATTGGACCTGATAAGTTTTCTTTTCCTAGTGGTCGTACATCACGAGCTGTATTTCTACTTTTTTATTTTATTCAAACATCATTTCTCAAACATTTGCCATCTTCCTTTATTATTATTCGGTTAAGTCTTGTTGTAGCTTCTCGGCTTCTATTAGGACGTCATTATATATCAGATGTTATAGCCAGTATTCTGTTTGGAATTTTTGAGTACTCAATTCTTGTACACATTTCACCTATTGTAACTCGTATTTTTCTCTCTATACTTGGTGTTCCACAGTAATGATAACAAATAAAGCATTTTTTTCTATGTCATCAATCGTCTGTTTGCAAATATCATAATATACATTCATTGGCATTGTATGCGAAAGAGATTAGAATAGGTTTATTTCATTTCAACGAACGTCTAATGAAATAATTTAGTTGTCATTATATGTACAAATAATGCTAATTATTTATTTATTTTTTCTAGTTCGAACAAATTGCCAAAATGAAACACCAGAAACAGCATTTGTTTATCGACGTGTATAAGTCAATAGAAAACTTTACAAAAAACAATATTCTCTTATTATTATATAAAAATTAGTTGTTATTATGCTAATTGAGCAGCAAAACGACATGATAATATTAGTCGTTTAACTCCCGAAGATATCGATCCATTTTTATGTACACATATTAATTTTGCTTTTGGTAAAGCACTTGAAAGTTTAACAATAACACCTTATGAAGAAGATGATTTGAAAGGATGGACTGCAAGTTCACAAGGCTTGTATGAATGTATATTACAATTCAAAGAAGTTAAACCTGATCTACGAGTTTTATTGGGTATTGGGTATGGGTGGGTGTGGGTGTTTCTTCTTCATTTATATTCACCCACACCTTCCAGTTACAGCTTTGAAACACATATCAGACTTCATATGGTATCAATGGAACTACTTATTTTGATGTCGGAATTGACCTTTCTTCCATAGACACTGTCATTTTTGTATGAGCACTTTTTATGCGTTTGGACTACACGTCTTTTTTTCTTTTAACTTATATTTCTATATAGAAGAAAAGTTTGAATTTATTTTAAATTAACATATGCATTATTGTGCATCTGGTGCGGATAAGCTACCAACACATACACCCACACCCGTGGCTATGGCTTTAAAAAGACGAGTTGTGGACAGAAATGCCTATAGGTTTTTTAGTATCTCAATATACTTAATCAAACGAGATATAAAATGATTCAAAACGCGAGTGAATACTCGGGATAATTCTCTTGTAATATGAATCTATCGTATATTCTCAAGAAGAATATTTTTACATTTTGAGTCACGCCAAAAGTAAGTTGAAAGTATGATCAGTGTGATAAGTATTAATCATTACATTTCCCTTTCGATCCTCGATGCATTTAAGATTGACGAAAAGATAAGGTACATTTACTCGTTTCTACATTCTAGTTACATTGCAAGAATATGAAAAAAGTAAGATAAATTTTGATTATGTATAAGTTCATTTCTTTTATATTCTATATGGATTTCAAGATCTGATCAATGTGGAGACTAAGAGTACTTAGCGATTTTTTTCTCATAAGAACCTATGAGACTTTATGAGATATATTTTCAATTATTTTGTTCACTCTGATCTAACCGATAATACACTCAAACAGAATACTTTGAACACATAATTTCTAAGTTTTGATAACTGTTGGTTAAACTACGCGTTTTATATATGCTGGATGTTCATTAGCCTTTTAACTATCTATTTCAAATCTTTGAATTTAATCTAATAGACTGTTCTGATGAAAACATTCAATAATACATCCTTGACAAATCTTTCAAGCTCTTGAAAAGGTTTTAGAACAGTTCGTATAGTACAACGCTTGATTATTCGACGGATTATTTTCTCGGTGCATTTAATACAAACCAAAACTATCAAATCTTCATATTCAAATATTCTGAGTAAAACTCAGTGTTGTAAAATATCTAGCAGCGTCAGCCTATGAACCTCAAAGAACAAGAAAAAGTTAAACGAAGAAAAAAAGGTATATATCAGCGTATAATACTGTTTTACATAATTTATATCGCTAATGAAGTGTGATTTGATCCACTCAAACAGACGCATAAGTTCGATGTTTAGAAAAGAAAGTATGTAACGCTGTATTTGCAAAACAAATCAATTTCGGTCTTTTATTTCTATATAAGCAAGGAAGAAAAAAAATATTCTCATTTATACCATGTTACCACTTATAACCATCGCTGCTGTCTGGCTTATCGACTTTCATACAAGTGGAGTGTGGGTGTGGATGTCTCTCCCTCATTCACGCTTATACCCACACACTCACCCACACCCTAAAGTCGGACAGGTCTTTGAAAATAGACTCTTTTTGTTTTTCATGTTTTTTTATTTTTTGTTCTTGGTTCTTTCCATTTTTTTTCATATTATGCTTCTCAATCCACACCGGCAGCAGGAAGGGTATATAAAGAAATGAATAAAATAAATATTGAATAATACTCTATAACTAATGCATCGATGAATAGTATTTAGAAGAATCCTATGTCTTCACTCAATATTATGCAAATCTAATAACATTCTCGAATATGATTAATCCTATTTCTTCCTAGCCCCAGACTGTATATAAAGACCGTTTCTTCTAAGCGATATTCGTTCTCACATCCAATTCAGTCAATAACAATAATGCAATTGAGTGAATACTCTAATATATTTTTCTGTTTCTAGATGATTCATTTATATTTTCAGTCAACTAATATAACACACGACATCCTAAAATAATTTGAGTTTTGACTTATTTAACGAAGGAATCTCCCGAGGCATCAAAGAGCTTTTGAGCTGCAATTTTGCTCACAAGTAGAGGATACATAGACTAGAAAAAGTCTAAAAGAATATGTGCCCAAGTTGATGTTTATCTGTGCGGTAAAATCAAAGTTTCGAATTTAGGCCTGAAACTTTGTCCACACTAAGACCTCAATCAGACAAGTTTGCTTACAAGTTTTCAGAAATTTTGGAAAGACTGTCTCCGAGACACAAGTATGTTAACATAGAGACGCTTTCTTATAGATACTAGGTTTCACATGAATATTTCGATGGATTCATATCTCGAAGATAATCTGTCTAAAATTTCTAAAACTTTGTAAGCAAACTTGTGGGTGTGGGTGTGGGTGTGGGTGTGAGTGTTTGTCTATCTCACACCCACCCACACTCTCAAGATCTCCATTAGAAACTCTGCATAGTAAGGAGAAATGAAAGCTCGCTCACCGTTGAACCAATTAAGTTAGTATATTAGCGACTGTTGGCTTGCTTAGAGGCAGATATTCGAATTTTACTGCATTGACAGTGTGTGTGGAATACCTACAATTTAAAATTTCAACTTTTAAAAAGAGATTTAAAAAAAAATCTACTGAAGGTCAAAACCATCTTGAGGGTGTGGGTGAGATTCCCGTTTGTTATGTTAACTTAGACCCACACCCTTATATACTATATTTGAAGACATTAGAAACGTTTCTCATTTTCAGATAGCTTTCATTTGTTGACTTCAACTGTGTCATAGCTACATGATTCCATTATAGACATGACACATATCATCAACAAATTTATCTCAGCATCATTTCAAGTCTCAATACTCCAAGCGAGATGTCCATGGCGACTTGCTTTTACTCTAATTTCTATATCTTTGCTGTTAATGACAACAATGTATTTTTCAGGTCTATCATTCAAGCATAAATCGCAACGCTGTGAACAAGTTACTGAGTTGAATGAGCAGTTAACTGAAATGTCCTCATTTTTTAAACATCAACAGCCCCCGTCGATTCTTATTGTCGGCGTGTTTTTCACGGGAAAAACAGATCCTCAGCGACCACAAAAGAGAAATGTCTACAAGGACTGTTCTGACTATTTTCAAGTGTGGCATGACTCTATACATAAGCAAGGTTTGCACGGTGTGATGTTGCATGATGGTCTGAAGAAGGAGATTATTGACAATTATACAACTCCTTCATTCATATTTATACGCAGTAATCAGTCGTCGCTACCTGCTGCGCTTTGGCCGGCTGAATGGAAATTTATCGCCCTATACGACTTCTTACGAATGCATGAGGATCTTCAATACGTGGTGATCACAGATGTGTCAGATGTTACTATTAACAAGAATCCAATTGACTTTTTTTTGTCGCATTCTACTAAAGATATATTCTTTGCTTATGAAAGTGCCCCTGGTAGAAGATGGATGTTAGAAAACTGGGAGAAATGCTTCGGCGAGAAATATCCTCCATACATGTCCAAAGTACATACTCCAAATATGATCGCTGGGCGGCGAGAGGCATTGATTACGCATGTTTATTTAATGAAAACTATGCTACTGGAAATTGCGATACATAACGCGGCTGGAGCTGGTGTTTGTGATATGCTTGTACATCATAAAGTAGTTTACGACTACTGGAATAACGACGCGAATTTGAACAAACGCATATGGGAAGAAGGTCAACCTCTTTACAACAAGATTAAGACAATAAATGGAATTCCGGGAGAGCCAGATAATATTCTCAAGGGATATTATATGGTGCATAGACACCGCTCTAACCCTTGCCGTTAATAATAATAGTGAGGGAAGTATCTTACTTCCTTAAGAAGAGGCCTAAAAATAGTTGCTTTTTTACCAATAGATAGAGCGTGTTTCGCTTTACTTTTCTATGCTATTTGATGATTCCCCACATCCTAATATATTAGTGAAATTTTGAAAAACAGTTTTTTTGTGTACGACTTGAGGGTGTAGATGGGATGGATGTGAATAGAATGAGTATACACTCGAGCTGACACCCACATCCACACCCTCTCATGCATTTAATTGACAGTAAGTAACTATAACAAGAGAAATCCATGAAAGATGCTCCAACGACATCTGCTCTCGCGACATTTGCTCTTCCGTGATATTTGCTCTCCAGTATCAACTGTCGATCTTGAGGGTGTGGGTGTGCGGCTGTGGGTATGTTATGATTAAGATGCTCATACCACACCGCCCACCCACACCCACATCCACCCTGAGCTTTTTGAGTTTTTCTATCATTGAGAGAATTAACTTGGAAAAGTGACTCGATTTTTTTCTGTTTTGTAAAATGCGTTGTCTCATTTCTAAATTATCTTTTGATTAATACTGAAAATAACATTATCACATACATGTATTATTAGCAATAAAAGAAATTCAAGAAAAATACAAATATTTCATTTCATAATTGTCGCCTGTGAATTAGTAGATGATTGAACAATGAACTATATTAGCAGAGGCGATGATGGATTGGAAAGATCAATAATATCACTATCAGTTTCTGGTAGAACAAGAGTTGGTAAATCAGATGATGTTGTTTCAATATCAACTTCCAATATTGATACTTGAACGTAACCATCGTCGGTCATATAGCGAGTAACTAATAAGAGACATCTAAAAGAGAAAATATAAGATTTCATTTTTTTTATTTTTGCAAATGAACATGACTCACATATTAAGAATAAATGGTATAATAGCTAGACTAGCAGCAAATAATAAGGTAGTTCCCCTATAATAGACTACTGTACGAGCATAGAACCAATTGAAGAATGAACTACCCAAAGCATACATGACTACATTAAGTTCGGTAAAAAATGTAAATGCGCTACTTCGTTCATGTGGTTCTAACCATTTTGATAACATTGACCATGTTAAAGATTCTTGATAGGTAGAAAATGAACTAATAGCCAATGCGGCATACATTTGCCAATTGTGTTGAGCAAATGCTATCCAAACAGTCGATGCAGATAAGCAGATATAACTAATGGCACAAATAAATGGATCACTAACACCTATACATGTTAATATTCGCATACCGAGTAGAGTGAAAACAGCAGAAGTGATAGCAGAAACAGCTGTATAATTTCCAATCTCAGAAGATGACCAACAAAATGGAACATTTAAAAGATACCAAAGAAATGCTGCTGATGATGAATCTATGAATAAATAGAACGCATACGAGACCATTGTCAGATAGATGCTGATAGATTTTTTTTTCGATCGATGTTTAAATGAAAATACAGTAAATACTTCGAAAAGATGAGCCCATCCTGATGGCGATGTCTCTATATCATCTTGTGATTCAGTTAGAAGAGATGCTGTACTTTCGGATATTTCTCTAGTCTGAAGTTTAACATGAGATGGTTTAATGTAGATAATAGTAATGACAATTGATATTAATTGTAATATTAAAGCTACCCAAAACAGATCAATAAAACCACGCCATGCAATGTAATAACCAATTACGAAGGATGCACCAGCTTCCACACTTGTTGTTATGCTGACGATAAGAATAATACGAGATGAACGTTTACTTTCAATTGTACCTTCAATAACAATCAACATAAGTACCAGATCTTAACAAGATAAGAAGAAAAAACAAACAAACTAGTTGAAAGTCAAAAAAGGTAGTCAACTATGAATTACTAAGAAGTCCAATTGAACCCGTCAGACCAAGGATAATAGAAGAAATAATCCACCAGTAATCAGCAAGATGAAGATAGATAAT